CCACCTTCTCCCATCCGTCCTTAGGGGGGGGAAGTGTGAACACTGCTCTTAACGCCCAAAAAATCGCGCTGTTCTCCGCTTCTGGAAGCGTGGCCGTTGCTTGGGTTACCCCCTCTTATTTTTTCACGGTTGATCCAGCAGATTCATAGTTGTAGCTTGCTAGAGCAGAGCCTTCTCCTGAAAATGCCTGGGAGGGCCTGCTCCGCTGGTCTGGTGTGCGGCTGAAAGTCTCTGTGTCGAGGCTCCGCTCCCCCAAGTCTGTCTCTTGGGAGACAATGTAAGCTCCGCTGGTTGCATTTATGTTTAATTTCTGTGCATTTCATGTCTTCTTCTGTGTAACTCGGCAGCTGCAAGTACCCTTCCGGAAAGCGCTGTTGGTGATGCTGCTGGTAGTTGGCCATACTCGGCTGCCCTGCTTGCCTCGGTGAACTGAACTGATGTCCCGTCAATGTAGTAAGGCGATTTCTGTAGCAAATCGCTGGTCTTGCATTGAGCCGGTGGGCTCCCCATCTGACGCACTAGCAGCTGTTATATTTTATTTCTGTGTGGTTTTGTAAGTGGTGATTTCGGGTTTTATTCTTCCAGGATCCATGAAGTTTCTGTTGAAATAACTTAGTTTCCACATTCCTTTATAAGATGTCCAGGTCTGATACCAGTATTTTGCTGCTTTGATATTTGGCCCTGGGCAGGATCACTGCTCGGAAGACTGTCCGACTACAAGCTGCAGGCATGTTGCCATGTTTTAGGGCAATGGCTCGGTCATGCTTAACATTGAAATTTGGGGAGCGGGGTGGTCATCTTCCATTTGAGCAGGGTGGTTTTGCCTTACTTGGTATCTGTTGTGATTCTCTGGGGAATGGAGACAGACGGGATGTGAAGTGGCTGTCCATGTAATTAACTTTGAAGCTTTAATTCAAGAAGTTAGATCTTATACCTGAATGTGCCAAGGCATAGTGTACAATAATTGAATCTGCCTTTTCCCGAGGTTATATCCCCAGGAAGAACATTCACCAGGTTTGTACAATGAATATTCCTACAGCATACTTCAGGGTGTTCCTAGTCCTTTTAAAACCTAGTTCAGTTGTCACAGATTGACTTGTTTAGATACCAGTAGGGATTGCTTAGATTACTAGATACTTACAGAAGAGCTTATCTGCATCTTTTAGCTTAATTCCATAAGTATTTTCTCTATTTTATTTTCACAGTGCCTTTCCCCTTCTGAATTTGGACAGCACCAGAACCTTGCTTTATCCTTTTCCTGCCATCCATGTATACCAAAAATGTCCTAGTGTCATTGTATCTACCAGTGAGTTACAGGCTCTAAATTTTGCTTTCGGCTTTTTAAATAGCTAAAGCTTTTCATGAAGTTTGGATTGCCTTCATCATCCTCTCTCTGCAGATTCCTTCCATAGGAAGGAGAAAAAGTTCTCTTCTGACTGAAGTTGCCATTGAGGACCACTTCTCTTTTAATGCTCTTCTGTACATCCCAGTTTAACACTATTACTTGCACAGAATGGAATGCATCCATCTTAAATGAACAGGAGGTTGATGGGTCCATTATTTTTGGAGTTCAGGCAAAATGTGTTTGGTTTTTGTATGTAAGGGGTCTGGATTTTTTTGTTGGTTTTGCAGGCTGCAATAAGGATTCCAAATTGTTTCACTTTAATAAGTGGATTTAATAGAGGCAGACATATTATCACCCTGAGCCCAGGGGCAGGCCTTGGGGAATTTCGGAGCTGCCTGCTTGCTGGTGTCACTGTCCTTTGATTAATGAGGGGTGGGCTTCCAATGGACAGCAGGCTGCTCGGTACAAGTGTGGAGGTATAGAATCATAGAATCACTTTGGTTGGAAAAGACCTTTGAGATCATCGAGTCCAACCTTTAAATTCTCACGCAAGAACCTGTGGGTTTCCAGGGCTTTAGCCAAAGGCTATGCCACGTCTTGCGTGGAAGTATCTCACTTTCTTGCATGCACCCTTCCACCCATTTGTCCATCCCTTCTGCCCAGGGACCAAGCATCCATTTCCGAGCCCTCAAAACACAATGTCCAGCCCTGTTTCATGGGTTCAGTGCTTCGCCTCTTTCATGAATCAAACACTTCACCTGGATGTCGAAAAATGCAGAGTGGGTCTGGCAATATTACCACTGCTTTGCAGGGAATATCACCTTTTTTTAATAGCTGCATAAACCAGGTGATCAGTAGTGTGCATGCTATTTTGATGAGTGGGTTGTGTTAGCAATACAGGGAATACAGTTGTCTGCTTTTAATGATTTGAATTAGAAATAACTGCACAGAAGTCTGGGATCTCCTGAAAATAAATGGGTGGAGGAGAGTAGAAGATTTGCCTCCTGCTTGGTAGCTAGGCTTTTAGTCATGTTATCTGTCAAGTAACTCTAGTAATATATTTAGAAAGTGACGTCTAAATTGGGTTACCGTTATTTAATGTTATGAAACTACTAGGTAGCTTGTATAATTTGCAGATTCAGCAGTCACCAGTGCTTTTTCTAAAGATCATAATCCTTCATTTCTATTTTCACTATTAGGTGCCTCATTTGGTCGTGTTTTATGTTATACAATCATTATAATGCTATTTGTATAGACACTACTGCAACAGCACCTTTGAGGCTGTTTGATTTAGGGAACTGGGGGTGTGCTCTGTATGTTAAAGATTGTAAAAGAGAGGAGTTCCAGTTTTATTTTTTGTTGCGAGTCTTAATTGGAATCTGAAACATCTGTTAAATGAATGATTTATATATAAACAAAATGTTGTTGTTAAAAATTATAGATGTAGTGGGTCATTTTAACATCAATACCTGGACTGATGTATGAAATGGT